CATTTTAGATGTAGATATATTAACAAGTGCAAAATATAAAATCAAATGTCAACATTAAAGTGGCTGGGGAATTCTCCAACCTGTCCTTTAGTCATCTAATCTAAGCTGTTCTTTTCACTGCTGGATGGGTCAACAGCAACTTCGGAAAGCTCCTCATACAGGTTACAGATGGTTCTATGGGCAGCAGCTCGGGAAGTCACACAGCTCCCTCAGAAGCACTGTGGTAAACATCTGGGGAAGTGGAAAGTGAAGACAGTGGACAATGGAGAAGCAAGCAATGTCTGTACAAAAGGCCTCATGGAGCCCTTAGGATTTTGGGGATTTGGAAGGCTATGATTAGGTGGAGGTTGACTCTAGCTTCCTTCTCTCTCCCTGGGCATTGGGCAGCCAGACTGAGGAGGATGCCTGAATAAAGGAAAACTAACTGGTTTCCATAGCCAAGTTTTGAGGGCTGTACTAAGCCACAGGCCAGGAACAACATTTTGGTAATATCTGCTTTTGCATATGATTTTTGGTTAAGTATAATTTATAGAAACTTTCTGAAAGAATTTAGAAATATGTCTTTCTCATTTCTGACAGGTGGTGTGGAAAGAGACAAACCTACCTCCCTGATGGAAGAATAGGGAGAAAGTTGCAAATTGCAGTTTGCAATGTTTCCAAACCTTTACAGAGAAGAGCAAGAAGGCCTTATTTTGTTCTCTAAAAAGAACATTCAGAATTGGTCAGGCTCCAAAATGGATTCTTCCTTCTTTTAATTGTTAAGGAAAACATAACCATAAAACTCCATTTGCAAATGGGATGGGGGCAGATGAAAGGAGAGAAAAAACCTGTTGCTTAGAGGAAAGCTATATACCTGGTATAAAATGCTACACAGCTCTCATGCTTCAAAAATATTTGAAGAATGCTAATAATTAAACTTTAACCATTTAATCAGATGAGTGAGCACAAGTGGCACATAAAGATATCTGGCTCCTGAAAACAAACCCCACTGTTTTTCTAAATCTTATCCCACTATACATTATCTAGATACTGTTTGCTTTCATGAAGAAAAAAAATATTCTTTATGACATAAGATATAGGAAAAATGTATTAAAGAAGCAGGAGGAAAAAGGCACTCCCCAATGGAAAAAAAAATCTTTCCCTTTAAATCTTTGGAATATATAATCTCATCAAATGATGCCTGTAGCAAAGCTTGGGCACAGGACACCTACTGGGCAACACAGAGTCCAGAAAAACCCTCCCAGACTGCCTACCTGGGTTGCAAACTGGGAAGACAGTCAAGCTAAGCAAGGACTAGGGAACAATTGGGGAACATGACACAAAACGGCCATGGGGCAGTCACGGGGGACAGGCAGGTCTCCCAGATTGGGTGGTGGGGCCACATGCATCACATTTGAAGCTGCTGGGGGCAGCATGCAAGAGGGAAACACTGGAAAAACTCCAGGGGAATGGAGCTATGCCTGAAAACCCTGCTCTTACTGGACAGGAGATGTGGCAGATGGCAGGGGAAAGCAGCTTGCTCCAAGGGATGTAAGTGGCCAGGCTGAACACAGCTGGACAGAACTCAGGGAACTGTGAAGAGATTAGCCAGAGCCAAAAAGTGAGGCTCAGGAAGAAGCAGGAGGAGGAGAAGGTCTGCAGCAGGACTGCCTTGTTGGTTGAATGGGCAAGACAAGCCTATGGTTTTATTTGTTTGGATTACTGACCCTTAAAGGAGCAATGTTTGGGAATGGGGTCCAGTGTTCCTTAAAGGGGAACACTGGTAGAAAAGGAGGAAGCAGAGAGACTAATTTGGAAGGGAAAGCTGTTGACATCTGCTGCAGAACATCTCTTTGGGAGAGGTGTGGGAAGCATGTAGGGGAGGAGAAGCCCTGTGAAGAAATCCAGAGGAACTCTCTTTAACCCACATGATGGACTATCTGAAAGACCAGTTCCTGTTCCTGTTCACCCCATTCTATCATTTAAGACCAAGGCATGGTGAGCAAACCCAGGGAATGAAGAGTGGGGCTATTAGCTAATACTTCTGCCACCAGAGGGCCCTAGTCCTTGCTCCTGCTACAATACCTATGAAACAAGACACTAAATTATTACTGTTCTGATTCACCATAAAATTTTGGTACTGATATCTAATTACCAAACATGAAACACTTCCATTTGCAGCAAGAGCTCCCAAAGTCAGCGATCTGAAGGTCAAGGAATCTTATGGCTACATAGAACTTATTTGAAAAAGTCTGCAAGTGCTTTAATCGTTAATACCATACTATAGCTTTAGAGGTCATTGGTCTTATTATTGACTAGCTCAGTCTTAACTGAGGTCTTGGATTAAGAGCAACCTGTGACTTTCCCTTCATCATCAGAGATGCTCTAATTTTTCATATTACACCAGAAGCTGCACTTTGGCAAGTCCTGTTTTGCCAATTCTGCAAATGTTGAGTAATAACTGTAGTGCTCAGTATTGGGACTTAACACTGTTGAAATCAACAGAAATATCCATGGAGTAGAGTCTGTAAATCTTACTATGCAACTTTACTATTGCACTTACAATAAATAGACCTACTTGCTCAAGGTAATATACTTGCTTATGCAGTCTTGAGGACATGGGCAAACATGCTTATAGTGCTTCAAACAAAGTTAAAGTGCTATAAAAACTGAATTAACAGATGACGCACAGAGTTATAGCACTACAAATCAGCCCAACTCATATCAAAATGGTTCCTTGATTCACTGTGACACTTATACTGGGAGGCAGTTGTATGTCCATGTGGCAGTGCACCTTTGGGTGCCTGCCACTTTAAGGGAAGAGTCAGGCAGCAGCCAGGTGCCTGATGGTAGCAGCAATTTTGGGAACCAGGTATAAAGAGACTGCAGTTTGATGCTGCCAGCCCAGGCAGAAACATCGCCTGGCTGAGCTACAGCAGGAACATCTAGAAGGTAAAAGCAGGAGTCTCTTGGTCCTAGGCATGACCTAAAATTGCACCCTGCCAGGGAAGGGTGGCCTGGTGGGGCTCCTAGTGGCGTGGGAGCCCCCAGGAAATGCCAAGTCAGTTACCACCCCAGTGAAAGGTAACTGGGGTGGCAACTGGGGTACCCACAATTTGGGGGTATGAGGGCCAGGCACGGCTGTAGCCGCCTGAGCCCATGGGGGAGCAAGGCCCCGGAGACTCCTGGTCAGGGATAGCTGTGAAGGCCCTGAGAGGGCAGGGATGTAGGTGGCCCCGCACACAGTAGGGCTGAATGGGAGTAGGCCTGAAGGGCAGTCCCAGGGGCACGTTAAGTAGGGCCAAACTGGGAGTAAGCCTGAAGGGCAGCGCAAGGGCCAGTCCCATGAGTACTTGAGTGCGAGGATGATGAAAAGACCCCAGGGTGGGGCATAATGTAGAGGCCCTAGAGTGGGCATAGGAGGAACCCCATGTGTGGGGAGTAGGCCAAGGTATATTTTCAGAAGCCTGAGGCCATACTTGGGCCTGAGGCCGAATAGGGGGGCTCAGCCAGAGAGTTAGGGGCGAGTCCTAACCCCGGCAAGTCCGCCACCGCAAACAGGCTGAGTGGGGGTCAAAAGAAAGACCTAGAGGTGGAGCACAATGACCTGCTGCTCCAGGAAGAGTGAGAGTCCCTGTGAGACCCTGGAGCACCAGTCATGGTATGGGTTAAGAATATCACATGGATGCCATCTGCGAGGCATGGGCTCCAGTGTATGTGAGGTTTCGGAGCTGCAGACAGCACCCCCTGGCATTGAGGCAGGAAATGGGTAGCCTCCCACCTGGGTAATATCTTAATCATTTTCCATCAAGGCATGGCAGGATAGAGAGGTGGACAGTTAGCCCAGAAACAGGTGGGTGGGCCAACTTCTAACTGGCCCTGGGAAGGCCCCCTGTTACTGAAGTACTACAAATTAAGTGCTTCAAAAAAGGTGGAGTCCATACCCAAAGTTGTTTTATGCCTTTTTGTATATATAGAACCAATCCAATTCCCACCAAAAATCAGGCTTTATATCAGAGTCATGCTGTTATCTATTAATGGTACAATATTATACCTCAAAATATACAAATGTGTTGCAGAGATAAGAAAAATTGGATTTAATCTGGCTCCTGAAGCAGTCAATAAAATTTGACTGGAGATGAACCAGACTATTATCCAGAAAGCAAACCAATTCTTCAATAAATGTTAGAAAAACAGAGAAGCAAGCCTGCACAATATTAAAGTCAGTTTAAAAGCTCAAAGAAAATATAGTACAAAATCCAACACTAATAATAAAATTCAAAACTAAGATATATTTAAAAGAAACAGTATTATCACTTTCCTAGTGTTTTAATAGAAAATACTGCAGATATTTAAAAGAAAAAGTATGTATTAACTTTCACTTAGAAGAGCATCAAATTAAAAACCTTATTTCTGCTTCAATATTTTTACTGTTACCAGTAACAGTTATGATTACTTTAACTTTAAAGTAAAAAAGATAAATATTTCTCTTTAAGTGTGGTTACTTGGTGCCACTGATACCATGTTATGCACAGTCATTTTCATTAGACCCTTCTCCTCTCTCCTCTGTAGTTATTTTCCCCTACAGTTTTTTGTGTATTTTTTACAGATTACATTTTAAGCAAAATCATAAGAATTGGCAGGAAAATTCACAGGCAAAGTGCAGTACCTGAAACTATTTTTTATTCATTTCTTAAGTGCCTACATTTAAAATTTGCAGGCTCTCCCTTCATATAGTGTAGGCAGTTTTGTTCATTCCATTTACTTTTCAGAAATGACATGACAAGAAACATAACAATATATGAACAGCCATCAATGTATAGAAATACAAATGGTTCTGTAAGTAAAGCAAATTTATATTCCTGGAGAATTTTAGCTGAATCTGTTTTTCAAATGGATACATTCTCTCTCTTGATACTGTAACTCCTCTCCCCCCCAAACTAATTTCAATAATCCTTTTAAAGGTAACTGGAACTACTATTTTACTGTGGCATCTTCCCAGACTATATTTAACCACTTACCAAGGAATTGGTGAAAGTTTCAGCTCTTTTTTCTTCAAAAGAGCGTATTTTAGCTTCACTCATCTTATCTGACTCAGCAAAAACATAGTGTCTGAGTGAGTATGACTGGGACAGAGAGCTAAGTAACCTCAACATTTCTGTTGTGTGCCCTCCTGAAAAACACAAAACCTGTAGTTAGGGGATGAAATATTCAGCAATTTCTATTTCAAAATAACCTATTAAGGGCATTGCTTCTTCCTTCAGAAAGACTAACTAGTTCAGAGAGGCATGAGCTTTCATAGGTAACATCTGATGAATCTAGGCTGCTTACAGGCATGAAACCCTCCCTCCCAAAACAGCCCTTTCAGCTCAGCCTGCTGCTGCGCTGAGCGCAGCACATGCCCAGAAGAGGCATCACATAAGTTTGACCCAGCTCGTCCAGCATTTGTATAGATTGGGTGCTTCAGTGGGGCTTTTTAGAGCTTTTGTTTAATAGCTGATTGAATCAGCTTCAGATACAAGTGCCAAAAAGCCCTGCTGAAGCGCCTAATCTATACAGATGCTAGGGAGCTGGGTCAAACTAACACGCTTCCTCTTCTGGTAAAGCACTGTTTTATCTTGCTTTATTTTTTTCACATCTGTAAGCAGCCTCTAATGAAGTAGAGTATTACCTGCAAAAGCTCATACCTCTCTGAATCAGTTAGTCTCCAAGATAGTGGTTCTCAACCTTTTTAGGCTCAAGGCACCCCTCTATACCTTGGAATTGAGCAGCACCCCATTTTGAAAACGGCCGTATTTACTCAAATCTAAGTCGACCCTGAATTTAAGATGGCCCCAATAATTAGATTCTACATATGGAAAATGTATAAATTTGTTATAATTTTCCAATTATAGAATCCAATTATCAGAGGATTTGTTCCCCTCCCACCACTACAACAGGAAGAATAGTGGGGGATGGGGGGGGGTCAGGTAGTCCCCTTGCTGTCTGCCCCCCTCAGTTCTTCCCCTGGCAGCCTTCCTACCCCCATAACCTTTCCACAGCTTCTGCCCCACTTCCCCATCCCAATCTCTGCCTCTTTCTCCCCCACCCCCGCTTACTGTCAGATGCTGTTTGAACTCTGTTCTCTCCCAAAGCATAGCAAATAGCTCAGCCCTTGCCAGGCCATGCAGCAGTTGTCAGTGCTGATTGGCCAGGCAGACAATGCAGCCGTGCCAGAGCTGCTGACTGGCCAAGCAGGAGACAGAATTTCCATGTGCTCTGTTCCTAGGGGTGAACCCAGACCAAGCTGGACCCAAGCTGCACCAAACAAGAAGGTGGGGAAGAAGGGGGCAGAATGTGGGGGCGCACCACTCTTTTCAAAAGTCTAGATCCTCCATACAGAAGATGTGATGTGATTGTTCTTGCCCAATGAAGGCAGGGCAAGAAGCAGTTGGTCCCCTGACAGATGTCCGTCTAAGCCAGCGGTTGTCAACCAGGGGTACTTGGGAAGGCCCCAGGGAGTAAACGGCAGTGATGTGGAGAAGAGGAGACGCTTTCAGTTTAGCCCCTGGCACTCCTGGTTTTGCCACCAGTGTTTCTGGTTTTGCTGCTGTGCTGGCCCCGCCGGCCACTTGTCAATCGGCTGCTGGCCCCTCCTCCGCCACTCATTGGCCGGCTGGGGGACTCCCTGCTTCTCGACCAGCTACCAGGGTACACCAACCAAAAAAAGGTTGAGTCCAAAGATTTCACCGATGTTAGGGCTGGAAAGGACCTCAAAGATCATCAAGTCCAGCCCCCTTCCTGAGGGGCAGGAAGTCAGCTGGGGTCAAAGGATTCCAGCAAGATAAGTATCCAAATGCTTCTTGAATGAGTCCAGAGTAGGTGCCTGCACCACTTCTGGAGGGAGTCCATTCTGGGTTTTGGGGGCTCGGACAGTAAAGAAATTTTTCCTTATGTCCAGCCTAAAATGGTTTTGGAGGAGTTTATGACCATTGGTCCTTGTTTTCCCTGGGGGGCTCTGGTGAACAGACATTCTCTCAGATCCTGATGAATGCCCCTTATATACTTATAGGCAGCCACCAGGTCCCCCTTGAGCCTGCGCTTTTCCAGGCTGAAGAGTCCCATGGCTCTCAGCCTCTCTTCATAAGGCCTATTCTCTTGCCCTCTGATCATGCACGTCGCTCTCCTCTGGACTCTCTCAAGCTTCTTGACATCCTTTTTGAATTGAGGAGCCCAGAACTGGATGCAATACTCCAGCTGCGGCCTCACTAAGGCCGAGTACAGTGGGAGGATGACATCCTGCGATTTACCTGAGAAGCATCTATGGATGCAAGCCAGAGTTTGGTTTGCTTTGCCAGCTGCGACATCACATTCGTGCTTGTGGTCAATCATGACCCCCAAGTCTTTCAGTCATGGTGCTAGCAAGTGTAGCGCTGCTGAGTCTATAAGAATGCTGCAGGTTTTTTCTCCCGAGGTCGAGTACCTTACATTTATCTATATTGAATGTCATCAGGTTAGTATCCGCCCACTTACCAAGTTTATCCAGGTCAGCCTGGATCATTAGCCTGTCCTCCCGTGTGGACGCTATGCCCCAAAGTTTAGTGTCATCGGCAAACTTAGCCAGTGCACTTCAGACACCAATGTCCACATCACTGATAAAGATGTTAAAAAGAACCACCTGGTTGAAAACCCCTGGTCTAAGCTGTAGCCTTGATCCTGACCATGGAAGAAGGATGGACTAGAGCAGTTTTTCAACCTATGGGTCGTGACCCAAAAGTGGGTCACAAGAATATATGAAAGTGGTATGAATAAACTTTAAAAATGGATTCTCTTTTAAAGGAGAAAAATATGTGAAACCATGGTTTTTCCCTTGCATGCTGGCAGAGTTCCAGCCTGCAAGGGGTGCTTGGGCTCCCCTGCACTGGAGGGCTGTGGATAGGTTACCATATTTCCAGTTCCATAAAAAAGGACACCTGTCAGGCAAAAACCTCGCTCCCCACTCACAGCCCCCTGGCTCTGCCACTCCCAACCTGCAGACCCTGTCCTTGCTGTTGCCCCTCACTCCTGACCCACAGACCCCTGGCCCTGCTGGGGCCCCTCCCCCCCAGGCTATGCTGGTGCCCCTCAGTCCCAACCCACAGCCCCCCAGTTCCTGCCGATGCTCCTCAATCACAACCCACAGACCCTTACCCCCACTCTGGGCCATGCTGGTGCCCCTCACTCCTGACCTGCACCCCCCTGATACTCCCAACCCTGCCTGAGGGGCCACCTGCCCCCATCCCGCATGATGACTGATTTGTGCGGGCAGCAGCAGAGTGAGTCCAGCCCTGGCACAGGTAGGAGGGAAGAGAGGATGCCTATGGCATCCCCTGGTCTGGGCTGAGGCTTCCACACTGTGCCAGGTCATCAGGGAGCTACTTGGCCACATCTCCTGCACCCTAGCAGCTACTTGGCCACACCTCCTGCACCCTAGCAGCATCTCCCTGCTAGCCTGGCCCTGCCACCAGCCCGGCCTGTCCACGTAGCTCCTTGATGACCTCAAAGGGCCCTGCCAACTCCGTTCCCCGTTGCTGAGGCACTGGGCTGCCTCCCACCCTCCCTGTCCTGCCGTCGCACCAGCGCTCGCTGAGGCACTGGGCTGCCTCCCACCCTCCCTGCCCTGCCGTAGCCCCAGCGCTAGCAAGCACCCACCCCCCTCACACATCCATCCCCTTCACCCACCCCTGCCCCCCTCACCCTCACAGCCCTCCGGACAGTCCCCAAGCCCTGGCCATCCAACTCTCGCTCTCCAGACTTACCTTGCTCTCCAGACATCAAGCTGCCAGAGCTGCTCCCACCACCCCGCTGCCTCCAATCACCCTCCCCCTGCTCCTGCCAGCGCAACAGAACAAAATCCTGGACAGTTCATATTTCAAAAAACATCTGAACAGAGATTAGAGGGTCCAAAAAGAGGACATGGCTGGGAAAATCCAGATTTATGGTAACCCTACCTAAGGGCAGTAGATCAGGAGTGAGGGGCAGTGGCTTGGAACTGGCCACTGATGTTTACAAATGGGTTCTGGTCCAAAAAAGGTTGAGAACCAGTGGACTAGACAGTGTCCTGACACCCCTTCTTGCCTTCTCTTGACAAATAAAAAGCCCAAGGGCTCATAGCAGGCTGGAGAAGAGTGGAGTAAAGAGCACCAGCCCTTTCAGCTCCTCTCAGATTCCTGTGCTTGCCCCTGCATCCCCTTCTGGGCTTGCTGCCCCAGAAGCCCCTGCTCCATGTGCTGTGAACCCCACACAGCCTCACATCTGCAGGCCGTGCTGGAGCCATGAGGTAACAGGGTGGTTCAGGAGCTACAGGACAGGCAGGGATTTCCGTGGACGCTGCCTTTTAACAGACCAGCTGTCGCGCTGGGGCAGACTCAGGCAAGCGACTGAGAGTGTGGTGTTTCCCACACTCTGCCCCCTGGTCCCCTCTTTCTCTCTCAGTTCCCCGCTCCCCACACACCAGCGTTGCCAGGGCTTAAATATGAAATTATCATATTGGAAGCTCGAAATTATCCTATTTGGTAAAAAACTGCCATACACTGAAAAAAAATGTGCAAATAAGCATGCAAATAAGTCTTTTTTAAATTTACTTTACAGGCAGTCCTCAGACTTATAACACACTTGGTTCCTGAAAACTGTGTCTTAAGTCGAAATGTCATAACTTGGAACTAATTTTCCCACAGGAACAGTGTTATAAATGGAGGATTGGTTTCTTTATGATGCTGTATACAACTGCATCCAGCTGGTAAGTCTGTTGTGGTGGAAGGGGGGGGCAGATCAATGCCCCCACGGTGAGGGAGGGGCAGGGGCTAGGTCAGAGGTGGGGTGCAGGATGGAGC